TACCAACGCAGCTGCAGAACTGCGTCCGTATGCCCGCCCCAAGACGGGGCAGAACAGACTTCAGAGCATGGCCTTCATGTTGAAATTACATTGCCGTTGTTGCGTACCGCCTGCATGCCTATCTTTGTTGCTTGTCCTCATGTGTCTCCAGCTATGCAAGCACGGATGGCACGTGGCAACAAGTTAGGTGGGTATGTTGCGGAAATGCCACATTCTGTCACCATCCGTTTCGGAACCATTGGAAACCATTGTTCAACAGCCGGATAGCCATTTCTTGCTTTATGAATTTAACATTGGCTGTTGAGCCAACGTTAGTCACCGTAAATTTTTGAAGTCGTGGATGTGACAAGAGCCACTTTCAGTCAACATCCTTTTCGAAACCATCATTGATGCGATTGAGCTTCTTTTCTAAGGGCTTCAGATTGCCTTTGTGGTACAAGAGTTATGGTGCATGGACATGTGTGCTGCGTTCAGGCGCAGCGGTGTCATGGGCGAAGAAATCAAGACCGCTGAAGAATCAGACTTGGTGTAAGCCATTGTTAACTCCAACTGTCGTGCCAGAGCTGCCACCCGCTGTTGCTGCAGCTCGTGCTGAGTTGGGACTTCCGGCTCTTGCACGTGAGACGGCAACTACTGCTTCTGGCGCCGCTGTGTCCGAAATGTCGGGCCGGGGTCGCCTCCATGCACGTCCCTTTGGACATAGAGGAGCCGCTACATGTTTGGGAACTTCTGGTGAGCCTGTCAGCGTTAAGGCTCCCATGTTAGATGCGAGCTCATTGGTCACAGCATCGGGCGAAGTATTGACCCGAAGACGGCAAGGAGGGCCGGAGGGCCTTGGATACCATCCCAAGATTCCAAACGGCCGAGGCGCGGATCTTCGGAATTGGCGTTGGAAGTGGCATCATCCCAGGTTAGCATGGATCTGGCCCGCCGTCAATTCAAACGCTTGATTTATGCATCCAGCACGGTGTGCACGAAAGAATCCTTATTTGGATTATGGGAGAACCTGTGCGCCCGCCTCAATCTTGATAGTCTGCCCGTCACGCAAGCTTCAATCTTTGACATTTCTTCTGTTTTTCGTGCGGCCGGGTTCCGGGCCATTAGTGCTTATCTGTATGAGGCAAAGGCCCGCCATGTGCGTGCTGGTTTCGTCTGGTCTCCTCAGCTCGACGCAGTTTTGCAAGATGCTAAGCGTGGTGCGAGGAGGGCCATCGGCGATGCAAACAAAGCTGCTGAAATTCGCCTGGCATGGTGGGCAAGTTTGGCTAGGGATTTCGGCTCAGACCCAAGCCCCCATGAAGCCGGACCGAAATCTCCAGTGGGTGGCATTGCCCTTTGGGTATTCGCTACGGTCTTCTTGCTTCGTGAAATGGAGCTGACTTACATCACGCTCGACATTCAGAGCATCAAGCTGGATTATGCTCAGAGGACCGTCAGTCTTCATCTGAGCGTGCAAAAGAACGACCCCGCCGCCCGAGGTGCGTGGCGTACTCTTGCATGTGAATGTGCTCAAACGTCTCCATGTCTGTGCCCCTTTCATGTTGCTGATGGCTTGGTCTGCAAACAGCTGCGAAGAGTGGGACACACGCGACTGGAAGACGTGCCACCAGGAGCTTTTCCTTTAGTAGGTCAACGTGCGTTCCCTTCCAAAGTGGTTGACAAGAAATTCATGATTGACGAAGCTCAGAGACTCGCCTCGTTGATTAAGCTTTCGAACCCTGCCGCCTCGCAGCTCGAGACTGCGACTGTCACTGGGCACTTCGCGAGACGGTCTGGCGCCAAGGAACTGGCCAGGCGGGGTATTCCTCTGTCCACCATTCAATGGATGGCTCGGCATAGCTCCTTGGCCACCCTTGGCTATGTTGAAGAAGCATAGGCTGAAAATCCTCGGGAGTCGTTCCGATGTATTGATGCGTCGTCAATCTCGGATATGGTTCATGTCGCAGTGGGACGTATCAGTGCCCTCGAGGAGACACAACATGACGTCTGTGCTTGTCAAGCTTCCCTATCCGGGGAGCTTGATCGTTTGGAAACGCAGCTGCTGGATCTTGCAAGCGAGAGCTTGCAGGTCAGGCTTCCGTCAGATCTTATGGGCCAGATGCGCACTGAGCTAAGAAAGATGGTGATTCCAATTGGTGTGTTGAACACTCGCACCAAATTTCTGCACCATGTAGATCAGAAGACTTGCATTTTGAGCAAGCCCGATCAATGGACATGCATATGCGGTTGGAAGTTCATGTCGTCATGCAATAAAGAACTCTTCTTTGATGACGATGAGCTTCCTGAAGGAGCAGCCGTTTGTGATCATTGTCTAGATTGACAAGGCGAAGGTATTTGCAGTTGTGCTTGCTGGTCTCGCTGGCACAGCTTGGTCAAGGGAGAGCTGCCTGTACGCTTAGAAGAAGTGTGCACGGGCGATCTTGCTGCACACTTTGAAGAAGTGTGCCATGCGATCCTTTCGTGTCTTGGAACGACCAGCACCTTCGCCAACACCAAGCAAAAGGCCTATTGCTCTGCATTGCACAATTGATGTCATTCAGGGTAGGAGGGTTGGGCTTCGGCTGGCTAAGGGTTTCCGTGACGTATTTACAACGGCTTGCTCGCCAAAATCTCCTTTCAATGTTTGTGGCTTGCTTCAAAAAATCTCCTTTCAGGGATTGGGTTTTGCTCACCAACATCGCCTTTTCGGGATTGGGCCTTGCCAACCTCACCAACATTTCCTCGTTTCAGGGTTTGGGGTTTTCTTTACAAGCATCTCCTCTTAGAGGTTTGGGTTTGCCAACATCTTTTTCGAGTTTGCTTAACAGCATCTCCGTTTAAGGCTTAAGTTTTCGGGTTTGCCAATATCTTTTTTGGGATGTGGATTTGCCAACAGCGTTCTGTTGGTTTGCATGCCAATGTTCGGGGTTTGCATGCCAACATCTCCTCGTCGTTGTTTTTGGGTTTGCCAACATGGTTCTGCTTTCGAGGTTTCTGGTTTGCTCGCCAACATCTCCGTTTAGGGTTTAGGGTTTGCCAATCACCGCCTCGTTTTGGGGTTCGGGTTTTGCCAACCTCCGTTTAGGGTTTGGGTTTTGCTCACCAACATACCCTCATTTTAGCGTTTGGATTTTGCTCACCGACATCTGCTTTTGCGGTTTGAAATTTGCCGACACCTGCTTTTAGGGTTTTGGGGTTTGCCAGCAGTTTGCTCAGCAAAATCTCTTGCAGGGTTTGTGGGTTGCTTACCAACATCTCCTTTCAGGGTTCCGGGTTGGCCAACATGTCGTTCTAGGGTTTTGGGTTTGCCACCATCTCCGTTTAGGGTTATTGTGGTCAAGTATTCGTCCTGGCGGAGTCACACCAGGCCAGTTGCAAAAGGGTTTGGGACGTGCGCACCATCATCTCAGTTTCGGGTTTGCACTTTGCCAAATCTTTTCTCGATTTTGGGTTTGGCATTTGCAAATCACCATCTCTTTTGGTATGGGCTTTGCCGACCTTGTTTTAGGGTTTAGGGTGAGCGCTCATTTAGTTCCCAGCAGAGGCTTTGCAGGCTGGATGCAAAAAGGGTTTGCTCACCAACATCTCCTTCTGGGGTGTCGGGTTTGCCCAAAACATTGGTAAGCGACAAGGGTGGGCAGGACAACACATCCGCATTTGCGAAGAAGAACAACAACTACTTCTACTGCTGCTGCTGCTGCTACTGCTACTGCCGCTGTTGCTGCTATTGCCACTGCTGCTACTAACCGCTACTACCGCCCGACGACACCACCACCACAACCACCACAACCACCACCACCACCACCGCCACCACAACTACCACCACCACTACTACCACCACTACTACTACTACTCCTACTACTACTACTACTGCTACTATTACTGGTGACACAAACTACTATTGCTATGCCTATTACTGTTACTGCTACTGCTGACCGTCGTCACCTCAGTTTTTTAAGCTCGACGAAGACTTGCTGTGGATGCACCTAGGGCCTACGACGCAAAGCTCCATGTTGACTTTCCTCTGAAGCAGAGTCATCGGAAGAAAAGAAAGTTTTCTCATTTTCGCCTTGCTGGCTGTGAGGTTTGGATACACCTCCGCGGCGAAGACTTAGGCCACTCCGATTACAAGTTCTCCAGCTCCCAGCGTGTGCACTTCGTCGCTGAGGCGCGAGCTGGCCATGTGTACTGTATTCCGGGGTTGAATGGTGAAATCATGCGCCGCCGTGTGCAATGTTTTGAATGTTGGCGCAGGCCGACGACAGTGTCGTGCCGAAGCTGAAGGAAGCGATCGAAAGAAGGACCAAGCGCACGACCCATGCTGCGTGTCATGTTGCAATGCATGTCCCTATACACTGCATATGCAGGTCAGCAGGTGAAGTAAAGCCCAGGCATTGTCTCCTGTGCGGAGGCTTTTCGATATCCACGACAACATAATCCAGACCCTGAAAGAGCGACTTGGAAAGATCATGTGCCCTTGGGTCCTTGCATAATTGCCATGCAGTGCTTCCACTATCAGCTAGTGATGCTACTTGCATGGATAGGCAGTGTCGGTGTCCTGCTGCCATCCAAGGAAGGGTGGTGGCCGAAGAGAGCGTGATCGGGGCCGGGAATTTGAAGATCCGTGGATGCAGGCGGCGCATCCTCCCCCGGCAGCTTGGTGGGGCCACCCGCCCCCTCACCCTGACCCTTGGGGCGCCCCACCGCCCTGGGGTCCACCGCCACCCGGATGGTAGCCTAGCTGTTGACGTCTTTAGTCGGCCGATTGGAGACTTCACATGGCCTCCTCCCGGGACAAAAGGGCTCTTTGGGAGGTTAAGCCGGACTGTTGCAAGTTAGAGCATTTAGCATTAATTGAGCTTGTCCTTTGGGCCTCCAAGTGGTCGACATTGGGTGTTTATGGAAGCAGGTGTGCCATGCCTCTCCGCTGCGATGCGATCAGTAAAAAAGGCTCCTGCTGCCCGCATGGCCTTCACTTGTTTGCTTGCCGTGCTGATAGCATGTAGAAGATACACTCCGAGGTGGGCAAACAGAACGAAGCCCTGGAGACTTTGCATCATGCGATCCTGCACAAGCGCTGGAAGAACCAGTGGCCACGTCCTGAGATTCGTGACTGGATGCGCGAATTGTCACCGGACAACGTGGGAAACAGGTCCCCAACCCTGGAGAAAATCATAGAGCGCCACTTGCAGCTGTGCCGCCGCCTCAGTTCCGGCTGAGCTCGGAGATGAGGTACAAGCCATGCAAGAGATCCGGTCGCAAAGTTCGGCCATCAATCAGCGAGGTGTCGAGCTTCAGAAGATGCGTTTTGCCAGAGAAGGCGTGGCGGGGGTCGTGGAGTCTTTTTCCGAGCTCTCGTAGGTGGCGGCACGTGTAGGGGGCAGACAGGCGCATCGCCAGAAGTGTCGAAATCAGAGTCGGGGTTTCGTAGAACGAGCCTTCGCAAAGTGCATGCCGGTGTTCAGGTCTTCACCAATACCGCGCGACATGCCAAGCTGCGAACATCCAATCGCTGGAACAGGCAGCTTCTTCAGGAAGCTTAGCTTGGGGTTCTCTTTATTGAAAGACCATGTGTTGTGGGCCTCAGTTTCAATTAACAGTAAAACTATGCTTGAATTGAAACATGTGATCGTGCAGGTCGTCCGAGTTTTCCGCAGGGCTGCAGAGGAGAAGGCTCGCACAGAAGAAGTTTTCTGTCATATGAGCAGCAGACATGTTGCTTCGACGTGCGCCGGGGTCGGAGTGCAGGTCAACCAGGCCAAGAAAGAACAGGACGGCAGCTTCAGCTTGCCTTCGGACATGCTGCTGACGTTAAATGAGGAGTTCGACAGATGTCGTACTGGTGTGCAGGTCATGGTCTTTAACATTGTTTTAGAGCAGGCCGTTCTCCTCCCCCCTGCAGCCCTCGACTGGCTCTCCTACAACCTTTCGCGTCCGATGTCAATGTGGGTTGCACAAAACATCGAAGAAACGGTGTGTTCGTGCCAGGATGTAAGGCTTGGTAAGGTGGCCGACTTGGAGGAAATGGATGCGTGCCGCGCCAAGCTAATCTCTTGTTTTGTTGTCCCTTTATGGTTTGTCAATGAACAGGTTACGAATCCGGTAGCAGAACGCAACTTGGAGAAAAATTCAATGGTGCTGGCTCAAGCGGGCGTGCCACTGCAGACCAGGAGTTCAGCTTCTTGAAGTGCTTTTGGAAGCCATGATCCGTGCCCTGCTCTTCCTGGCGTCCTGCAGTGCTGCCGTGGCCTTCGTCCCACCGGCGCAGCAGAGCAGCGTGAAGTACCAGGCGCCGGTTGCAAGAGCTCAGGAGAAGGTCGACGAGGCCTCCAGCCCCTTCTCTTCCGTCGCCTTCGGTGCCAGCGTTGGCTACGCCGCCGCTGCCGTCGGCGCCGCAGCCCGCCAGGGCCGCGTGACACGCTTCGCGGAGGGCGATGCGCCAGCGGTGGCCAGGACCTGTCGGTAGAGCAGTCGCGCGAGCTGCGGAGAACAGGGCTAGTCAGCTTCTGCTGTGATTCGCGCTGGTGCGAGGACTCCCGTGGCCTACCCGATCTTCACTTTCCGCTGGCTGGCCATCCATGCCCTGGTGGTGCCCACTGTGTTCTTCCTCGGTGCGATCAGCTCCATGCAGTTCATCCAGCGCTGAGCCCGTTTGCTTCGGGTTTCTTTCTCAAGATTCCCGCGGTTTTTGTTGCATTCTTAGCAGTAGGCGTGGCGAGCAACTGCACAAGCATCAGCCGATATTCCATCCCGGAAGGAGATAGGAGATTGGCCACCGACAGGCATGCATGCGGCACAGACAGCAGAGAGTTGAAATGTCTTTTGTAGCACTCTGGAGCTTGTTCGCCTTCGACTGTTGTGAGATGCCGAAGAGAAGTGGCGTTGGGGTTAGCGGTTAGCGGCTGGCTCAAGCGGGCGTGCCACTGCAGACTAGGAGTTCAGCTTCTTGAAGTGCTTTTGGAAGCTATGATCCGTGCCCTGCTCTTCCTGGCTTCCTGCAGTGCTGCCGTGGCCTTCGTCCCACCAGCGCAGCAGGGCAGCGTGAAGTACCAGGCGCCGGTTGCAAGAGCTCAGGAGAAGGTCGACGAGGCCTCCAGCCCCTTCTCTTCCGTCGTCTTCGGTGCCAGCGTTGGCTACGCCGCCGCTGCCGTCGGCGCCGCAGCCCGCCAGGGCCGCGTGACACGCTTCGCGGAGGGCGATGCGCCAGCGGTGGCCAGGACCTGTCGGTAGAGCAGTCGCGCGAGCTGCGGAGAACAGGGGTAGTCAGCTTCTGCTGTGATTCGCGCTGGTGCGAGGACTCCCGTGGCCTACCCGATCTTCACTTTCCGCTGGCTGGCCATCCATGCCCTGGTGGTGCCCACTGTGTTCTTCCTCGGTGCGATCAGCTCCATGCAGTTCATCCAGCGCTGAGCTCGTTTGCTACGGGATTCTTTCTCAAGATTCCCGCGGTTTTTGCAGGTCTTATTAGTAGGAAAAAGCCGATGTTCCATCCCGAAAGGAGATAGGAGATTGGCCACCGACAGGTTTGCGCCAAAGATAACAAAGACTCGGAATGATTGTTAATGAAACTGTTTTCTGTTGAGCTGGACATCGCAACTGGAGCTTGTTAGTTTCCGCCTGCTGCGAGATCCCAAAGAGAGGCGGCGTTGGGGTTAGCGGTTAGCGGCTGGCTCAAGCGGGCGTGCCACTGCAGACTAGGAGTTCAGCTTCTTGAAGTGCTTTTGGAAACTATGATCCGTGCCCTGCTCTTCCTGGCTTCCTGCAGTGCTTCCGTGGCCTTCGTCCCACCAGCGCAGCAGGGCAGCGTGAAGTACCAGGCGCCGGTTGCAAGAGCTCCGGAGAAGGTCGACGAGGCCTCCAGCCCCTTCTCTTCCGTCGTCTTCGGTGCCAGCGTTGGCTATGCCGCCGCTGCCGTCGGCGCCGCAGCCCGCCAGGGACGCGTGACACGCTTCGCGGAGGGCGATGTGCCAGCGGTGGCCAGGACCTGTCGGTAGAGCAGTCGCTCGAGCTGCGGAGAACAGGGGTAGTCAGCTTCTGCTGTGATTCGCGCTGGTGCGAGGACTCCCGTGGCCTACCCGATCTTCACTTTCCGCTGGCTGGCCATCCATGCCCTGGTGGTGCCCACTGTGTTCTTCCTCGGTGCGATCAGCTCCATGCAGTTCATCCAGCGCTGAGCCCGTTTGCTACGGGATTCTTTCTTAAGATTCCCGCGGTTTTTTGCAGTTCTGAAAAGTAGGAAAGGCCGATGTTCCATCCCGAAAGGAGATAGGAGGTTGGCCGCCGACACGTCTGCGCCAAAGATAACAAAGACTCGGAATGATTGTAAATGAAACTGTTTTCTGTTGAGCTGGACATCGCAACTGGAGCTTGTTAGTTTCCGCCTGCTGCGAGATCCCGAAGAGAGGCGGCGTTGGGGTTAGCGGTTAGCGGCTGGCTCAAGCGGGCGTGCCACTGCAGACTAGGAGTTCAGCTTCTTGAAGTGCTTTTGGAAGCTATGATCCGTGCCCTGCTCTTCCTGGCTTCCTGCAGTGCTGCCGTGGCCTTCGTCCCACCAGCGCAGCAGGGCAGCGTGAAGTACCAGGCGCCGGTTGCAAGAGCTCAGGAGAAGGTCGACGAGGCCTCCAGCCCCTTCTCTTCCGTCGTCTTCGGTGCCAGCGTTGGCTACGCTGCCGCTGCCGTCGGCGCCGCAGCCCGCCAGGGCCGCGTGACACGCTTCGCGGAGGGCGATGCGCCAGCGGTGGCCAGGAGCTGCGGAGAACATGGGTAGTCAGCTTCTGCTGTGATTCGCGCTGTTACGAGGACTCCCGTGGCCTACCCGATCTTCACTTTCCGCTGGCTGGCCATCCATGCCCTGGTGGTGCCCACTGTGTTCTTCCTCGGTGCGATCAGCTCCATGCAGTTCATCCAGCGCTGAGCCCGTTTGCTATGGTTTTCTTTCTTAAGATTCCGGCGGTTTTTTAGTAGTAGGAAAAGCCGATGTTCCATCCCGAAAGGAGATAGGAGGTTGGCCGCCGACACGTCTGCGCCAAAGATAACAAAGGCTGGGAATGATTGTAAATGCAACTGTTTTCTGTTGAGCTGGACATCGCAACTGGAGCTTGTTAGTTTCCGCCTGCTGCGAGATCCCGAAGAGAGGCGGCGTTGGGGTTAGCGGTTAGCGGCTGGCTCAAGCGGGCGTGCCACTGCAGACTAGGAGTTCAGCTTCTTGAAGTGCTTTTGGAAGCTATGATCCGTGCCCTGCTCTTCCTGGCTTCCTGCAGTGCTTCCGTGGCCTTCGTCCCACCAGCGCAGCAGGGCAGCGTGAAGTACCAGGCGCCGGTTGCAAGAGCTCAGGAGAAGGTCGACGAGGCCTCCAGCCCCTTCTCTTCCGTCGTCTTCGGTGCCAGCGTTGGCTACGCCGCCGCTGCCGTCGGCGCCGCAGCCCGCCAGGGACGCGTGACACGCTTCGCGGAAGGCGATGCGCCAGCGGTGGCCAGGACCTGTCGGTAGAGCAGTCGCGCGAGCTGCGGAGAACAGGGGTAGTCAGCTTCTGCTGTGATTCGCGCTGGTGCGAGGACTCCCGTGGCCTACCCGATCTTCACTTTCCGCTGGCTGGCCATCCATGCCCTGGTGGTGCCCACTGTGTTCTTCCTCGGTGCGATCAGCTCCATGCAGTTCATCCAGCGCTGAGCCCGTTTGCTACGGGTTTCTTTCTTAAGATTCCCGCGGTTTTTGCAGTTCTGAGTAGTAGGTTCGGCCTGCAATTTTACGAGTGTGAGCTGAAAATCCATCCCGGAAGGAGATAGGACTTTGGCATCGACAAGTAAGAGCAGCAGAAAACAGCAGGTTCGCATATTGCATGTCAGTCTTGTTTTATATAGCTATATAAGCAGTGTCGCAGTTGTCAGGCCAAAAGCATGGTCATCCATGCCGGCCTTTTGCTGAGCCTTTTGCTTTTAGAGAAGTTTGTTCGCGGTGGTTGGTAAAGTACTTTGTCTTGGGTGTGCTTTGTCAGAATTGTCACACAGATGAAGTGCAATTTTCAAGTGCTTTGAGGTAGCCCTCGTAGGCACGTTTGGAAAGTCCTGAGCATGTTTTTGAGGATACAATTGCGGGCGCAGGGCTTTGGCCTGAACGTAATTCGATGTTTCAGGGAGCTGCTCAAACAACAGGCCGACAAACACAGGCCTGCATGAACGAACATGAACATTTCGACTGTGCAGCTTTTGTGGCTTATGCGCTCGTGGCCTTTGGTGGCCGCATCGGGGGCCTCGGGGGGGCTCGTTGGGATTCTGCTTCAGGTTCTCAGGGAACTTTCATTCAGCGGGGAAGTCTTTGTCCCTCCTGAGCCTGTCCTCGGCCCTTCGCTGCCGGGTCTCCTTGAGGTCGATCGGTCTCCTTGGCTAGGAGGCTATCACCTCCCTTCTTTGCTCATTGGATTTGGCCTTGGAATTTGCTGCGGGCCCTTCCTTGATTTCCTTCTGCTGATACGCATTGGACTTCTCCGAGGGTTGGGCCGAGCGAGCCGACCATTGACTCGTTTGTATCGGATACTTGAATGAGCATTAGGGCTGAGTTGGGCTCGCTTAGAGAAGAAGCCAGAGCCCTCAGGTCCTTGCTTGAGCATTTGGAGGATCGGATTCGGGATTTGGAAGCTTCAGTCGGGTTTGAGGTTGTTGAGCCTGTGACCCCGCCGCGCAGCGGACCGCGGAGAGCCGAGTACGCCTCTCCCGAGCCGGAACCCAGTCAGTCGCGAAGGAGCACTCCGAGCAGGCCTTCCGCTTTTGCTGGATCTTTCGCTGACGGCTCTTCGGAATCGAACCCTGGGGCTCCCACTTCAGAGTTCAGGGTTGCGTTGGCTGGTGATATCGGTCGGTTCTTAGCCGGTAGGCTGTCTGGGCAAGCCTTGGGACCTTCTGGGCGTGATCGACTGAAGCTGAGCTCCAAGTTCTACATTGTGTGCCGAGACTTCGCGGGCCTTACCTACTCCCCGCCTTTGGTGTTGACCAGCTTCTCCCGAGTTCGTGAGTTGTGCTTCAGCGCTTCCTCTCGT